CATTAGCCTTTTAGTTGCCTTCAGGCTTCACAGAGGGGGGGGGGGGAACAGATGAGTGTTTCAAAGATGTAAAAGAGACAGACACAAAGGAAGAAAAAAAGGTGAGGTGAGTACTGTGGAAGTAGTCGAATATGACATAGAGTGGGGGGTGGTAATTTGAAATCAGAAGACAACTGCCAGTTAATAGTCTTTTTTGCCGTACGAGTATACGTTGCCCAGGGTGCAGTACGTGGAGATAAGTCTATCGCACACCCCGAATAGGGGAATAATCAATAAAAAATTCATCGAGTTGACATGCTTAGTTCCTTATTTCATGAACTAAGGATTCGAAGTCCACTATTCAAAATTTTACTCTAATTTTCTATCCGCCTTAATGTTCACGATATTCCAGTTCCAGTATCTGGTGAGTCAAAGTAAACAATGTGTTGACGGTAACTAAGATGTTTACGAATTAGTGGAGCTAACTCGATTTGATTTCTTATTATTGTGTTGAGTGCTTTTAATCAGGTCTCTTGGTGATCATTGCCAAGGTGTGGGTGGGGGGGGGGTGTGCGAAAAGGTCTAATTGCTGGTTTATTTATTGGATATTCCAGTTATTTGTTAAATTGTTGTGAGTGTGGGATTAAAGCCTGCTTCTATACATCCGGTGAATCCAACTGCGTCGACTTGCATATTAAACATCATATTGCTGTCTCTTGATCGTAAATACTCGTTTATCTACGCATCTTAAGGCTGGCAGGAGTTAGTTTATATTCAAAATCATCTTTAGAATCCAAATATTTATAAACTATCTGGCTTATTATCTTTTTTATAGGACCCGTTGAATGAGATGCACGACGTGGTTCGAGTAATTAACTTGGTAAAATACTATCCCAAGCATAAAAAGCCTGCAGTCAATGACCTGACTTTCGGTGTTCGTCCAGGGGAGTGCTTCGGCTTATTGGGTGTCAACGGTGCCGGTAAAACGACTACCTTCAACATGCTCACAACAGCTATTCATCCAACCAGTGGATCAATTCAAATCGCCGGTTGCGATATCACTGGAAATGCTGGTTTGTTCTCGCATAATTTAATTGGCTACTGTCCTCAATATGACGCTCTTCTCCCATATCTGACTGGTTACGAAACTCTCCAACTCTTTGCTCGTATCCATGGCTACCCAGAAAAGGTCATACCTGGCCTAGCCAATCGGCTAATTGATAGACTATCTCTTCGACCTCACGCTCTTAAACCTGCTCACACATACTCCGGTGGAAATCTTCGCAAACTTTCAACAGGTGTAGCTACTATTGGTCAACCTCAGGTCCTCCTTCTTGATGAGCCTACTTCTGGAATGGATCCGGGTGCAAAACGATGTCTTTGGGAGATTATCAAGTCCTTGCAGCAAGATGGATGCTCCGTAGTTCTGACCACTCACAGTATGGAGGAGTGCGAGGCCCTGTGTAACCGCCTAGCCATTATGATGGATGGGCAATTCCAGTGTTTTGGTACCGTACCTCATCTGAAACAGCGCTTTGGCGAAGGTTATATAATCGAGGTGGATCTCTGTCACGAAGAGTCGAATCCCTTAGACCTCTTCCCTCAAAACTCTCAGATCCACGTCCTAGATGCTGTTGGCAAGAAATGTAATTTCGAGGCTAGAGGTGACGTCAGTCTATCATCCATTTTCAAACATCTCCTGGACCTACGGTCCACTGGAAAGATAAGCACTTTTGGTGTTCGTCAGGTATCTCTGGACACTGTATTCGTCAACTTTGTCAGAAATTATGAGAAAGAGAAGGATGAAGAAGATGTTGATGTCGTTCTGAAAGAAAATGAGGCACTTGGAAAAGATTTGAATTATGTTGAATTTTAAACAAACACAGCAAATGCTCTTCTAACGCTGTATTCCACAAATGTCTTTCATAAAATTACCCCATTGACACCCTGACACTGGGGTCAAACTTTTGTTATCATTATCTGTGTGTGTATTTTGCCCGATCTCTGGTCTGCCTATTTGCCTTTTATATGCATAAGATGACGATTTGGTTCCTATTTTTGAGTTGATTTCAACGTAAATACAATTATTATTTTTAATCGTATCTGGTGTCTTTTGAGTTGAATTATTTAAATTTAATGATTAAAGGGAGAGCTTATTGATGAAGACAGAAAAAGCCTTATTGGTATCTTATTAATCATTTTATTATAAAGCTAGTAAATTAAATTTGCCAATTTAACAGATCTGCGGATTTGAACATGCACACAGTGATCACTTAAGAGCACATCGAGAGAGCTCAAATCCACCGAGGTTTTGCTTGGTATTGGACTGAGTAATTCCACTTGGTGGCCTCTAAAAGATAATTTTCCAAATGTGAGCACATGACGCTCCAAAGGCCTCAACTGCCAACGTAACACAAATTGCAATTGGTCTGGTGGTAGTAGATAGAGCTTAAACTACAATACTAGGAATTTGCCTACTTGTCTCATACTAATTGCCCCTGTTGAAACAATAGTCTCTTTGAGGTGACAGATTGTTGTTTCTTAGGTCATAGGGAAATAAACATCTACACAGTGCAGAATGTGTCATGTCAAATGACATATTGAATCAGACTGAAATATTACATTAGATGGCAGGCGTTTTGATTGTTATCATTAGCCCTTTAGTTGACTTCAGTCTTTACAGAGGAGATGGAACATCAAAGTGTTAAAAATTCAAGAGAGGGGGGGGGGAACAGAAGGGTGTATCAAAGACGAAGGCAGATAAGGTGGGAAAAAGGTGGGATGAGTACTGTGAAGGTAGTCGAATATGACATACAGTGGGGTCATGGTAGTTTGAAGTCAACTGCCAGGTAATAGACTTTTTTGCCGTATGAATATACGTTGCCCAGGGTGCACCACGTGGAGGTAAGTCTAACACACACCCCTCAGACTGAAATATAGTGACGCAAAAAAAACTCTTATAGGAAACTTCGGAACGCGCTTAAATTCAGGCAAGATACAATTTTTGTTTATTCGAATATATATGTGTAGTTATGAGATATAAGCTTCTAAGGCCATACTGAAAATAATTTCAATAACAAAGACACAAGATGAAGGGTCGTTTTCAAAGCATAACTTAGTATAAATTCTAGAATAGTTACTTTCCGCCAATAGGATCTATCTCCCGCCCAGATACTGTCACGCCACAATTCACTCAGAGGATTTTATTAACTTCTAGACCGTAAATTAACTAAACAAATGCTATCAAAAGAAATACCAACTGTCCTCGTATGGTTGATTTTGGGGTTAGAAACGCCTCCAAAATGTTGATAAATTTCTTTTCGAATATTTATCAATGTCTTAGTAATGGTTTGCACTTGCATACTGACTTAGAAATAACCATCTGATATCGATTATTTCGAGATTATACATATAAAAGCTGACTAACATGGGTGATGGGGGGGGGGAACATTTGTACATGCCAGGTAAGGGATACTTTTTTCATTGTTTAACATTTTGATTTATCAATCGCTCTGATTACAATTGGCTAATAGGATTTCATGGGTGAAACCACAAAAGTTACATCTCTCCTCTGAATACCATTTCGAATATTCAATCCCCAACGGCCTTGAACACCGCATTGTATATTTAAAATGAATGATAATAAAAGCTTTTCAACATAAACTCAGACGTGTCTTTGATCAACCAATGATCTATATAGGTGTCATCAAATAATTAATTCATCCATATGCGGTGATTGGAGTTATGATACACTGCTGCAGCGGATCGCTACGCTAGTAAAGCCTGACCGCTCAGAAGTCTCTATGGCAGATCCTCCCACATCTAGCTAGACTCCCAGACGTGTAGCACGGAGCACGTTTATCCAGGCCGTATATTGCGGATCAAGTGTACACGTAGGGGGCCTAATCATGATCAGGATGGGGGATTAGGTTAAACAGAGGTTAATGATTGGTCACTGTTTGTACGATCGCGTTAAACAGAGGTTAATGATTGGCCACTGTTTGTACGGTCAATCATGATCAGGATGGCGGATTAGGTCAAACAAACAGAGGCTAGTGGTCACTGTTTGTACGGTCGCTGCACACAGAGTTGTACGGCGAAGGATGGGGGGATTAGGTTAAACAGAGGTTAATGATTGGTCACTGTTTGTACGATCGCGTTAAACAGAGGTTAATGATTGGCCACTGTTTGTACGGTCATAAACAGAGGTTAATGATTGGTCACTGTTTGTACGGTCGCACCTCCCAGGTCGCCGGTTCGATCATGATCAGGATGGCGGATTAGGTCAAACAAACAGAGGCTAGTGTTAAACAAACAGAGGTTAATGATTGGTCACTGTTTGTATGGGATTAGGTTAAACAGAGGTTGATGATTGGTCATTGTTTGTACGGTCCCTAAACACAGAGTTGTACGGCCGCACCTCCCAATCCTGGCGAGCAGACATGCGGGCATACGATGACGCACACAGCGAAACGTGTCCGACACTGCCATGCCGGAATTTGTAGTCTCGGTTTATTTCTACTTCCATTGTTAAATCCTCGGTTCCTCTGTCCCATTGCGGATATTGTACCATTCCTCGGATCAACACCTTGTAACAGTTGAAATTAGGGTACTTATTACTTCAAACAGGTTTTAATTAGATGATCGTCAACCAGTAATAAATTGTCACCCTTTTGGATTCCCTCAACACAGCTAAACGTTTGAAGTAAATTTGCTTTAAAAAATAGTTAAGTTCTATGTATATTACTTACGTTAGTGTGAGTGTAACGTGTAAAAAAACTTAAATCTTCCCTGTCAAAACAAAATGTGTGCTTACGTTTAAGGTCCGAACAGAAATCTCAAGTAAGCGCACTGCAAATATATCTAAAGAGAAGTAGGTTAGTTTAAAAAGGACTTTCTTCTCACCAGGTGATCGGAATGTAGACAATTGATTAAGTGAATTGTAAATGATGTTAATTTAGTAAAGATAAAGTTTATGTTTATCCCTTTAACACCCAAAGCACTTTTTTGGTGTTTTTAAACATTTTTTCACACAGTTTTCCCTTCTGTTACAAGACTGGTTCAGATGAGCTTATTTTGAAAGAGGATTGTTCAATCCCGCAGGATGTTAAATGCTTAAACCTCCAGTTATAGTTCGTTTTGAAAGCACGATTTTGCCCTAAAGATGCATTTTTTTAAGCAATGGGAGATAGCTTTCCTAATGAGGACTTTCCCTTTCCCTTAGAGTTTTCTTAATTTCTGGAAAATTAAGTTCTATTATGAAGCTGTTTTAAAACGATTGTGGAAAATAAAAATAACATTTTATCTCACTTTTAACCAACATTCACGAATTTTCCGAAGCCAAAAGAAGGCAAGAAACTGAAATTGCGCAAGTTTAAAGAATGGGATGACTGCAGCACTCTTAATGTTAATGGAGAATTGATGTGCAATAGACTTACCTCCATGTAGTGCACTCTGATTACCGCATATGCATACGACAAAAAATGTCCATAAATGGGCTGTTGACTTCGGACTTCAAACTAGCATGGCCCGGCTTTATATCATATTCCACCACTTACACAGTACTCACCTCACCCTTTTTCTCAACCTTTGTGCCTGTCCCTTTTACTTCTGAGAATCACCCTCCCGTCCATCCCCCTCTCGACTTTTTGTGACTTTGATGTTCCTCCTCCCCTCTGTGAAGCCCGAAGTCAACTAAAGAGCTAATGATAAGTATCTTAAAGACCACCATTTGATATAAATTAATAAATCCATAAATGTTAAGGGGGCGTTGGAGAGCAGAACCTAATACTTAAACTTTTTGTAATTAACTTGAAAACCCTACTCTTTCCTTATTTCCTTATACTTTAACGAACCAGTATGCTATTCGTTCACTTCGCCGTTGCATATTTGTTGTCCTGTATACCTCGGGTATTTTCGGAAGTCTCTCAATTCGATGGAAATCTTGAAACCTATCTTATGTTTAGGAAATACAATTGGTTTCTAAAACTATGCTTTAATATAATTAGTTAACGTGAGGTAGACCTCAAAGCAAGGCAAGTTTGACGTAGTTAAGTTCTCACATGCTTTCGTAACAAAGTGGTGATGATGATTTTATGGTATGGCGTGGATGAGTGTAAAACCACCCTCCACCCCAGATTATTTTGTCATAATATTGGGAACATCTTAGAAGCATTTGAAAGCTCTAATCACGCATCATAAAGGCTTAATTAAATACATTCGGGTGTTAATTTGTCGCACCCTAGTCCTCTTACTCTTTCCCTCCACCCCCCCCCCCTCTAGGCTCTCTGCATGCTACAGTCAACTTATTAGATTAAAAATTTTAATGCCATAGACTGCGGAGTGCACGACTCTACCAAGGCTGCATAAAGAAGTCTCATGCGCACTCGAATAATTTCGAAGGTGCGATGGTGATAATGATCGAGTAAATGCCAAGACCTCTCAGTCAACCAGTGACCAATAATTGCTACATTCTTTGATATCCCCTTAATTGCATTTTAGTAAATAATCTTTGTGCCAGTGAAAAAACGCAACTAGAGCAAACGCTACCCTCTCCCCACGCTCTGTTTCCTCGGTTCTGGTAACTTAGGGACTTTCGGTCGCCATTCCATACACTAGGGAATTTTTGTCATAGAGCTTGGTGAAACTTATATCAAATGGCAGGCGTCTTGATGTTTATCATTAGCCCTTTAATTGACTTCAGGCTTTGCAGAGGGGAAGGAACATAGAAGGGAAAAAAGTCGAGAGAGAGAGAGAGGAACAGAAGAGTATCTCAAAGATGTAAGAGACGAACACAAAGGTAGAAAAAAGGTGAGGTGAGGACTGTGGAAGTAGTCGACTATGACATACAGTGGGGTCTTGGTAGTTTGAAGTCAG